TTAAAGGGGGGAGAGAAACATGAGGAAAGATGAAATACTTGGGTAGGCCATGATTAAAAAGAGTGTCTGGGATGCTGAGTTCAACCATAGATGATCACAGAGCAAGAAGACATTTTGGAGTTTGTACTTAACATTATTTATGAAAGAATTGTTCATTATTTATGAAATTGTTTTACCTTAAAGCAATTTGATTAAAATATTTGTTCCCTCATTTGGGTGAATTTGTGATTTGGGGTGTCGTGAGCCAGATGGTGGGTATGTAACACCCATTACATACCCGTATACTCATCTGCCCCACAGAACCACTTTCCTCTCATTCCTGTGCTTTAAGTCTCTTGCCTTGACGCAAGGTTTCTGCTTATTAATACAAACAATTTCTCTGCACGCTTCTTTGCTATTCAGCTTGCTTTTAACATCGTTTTCACTTTTGCTTCATATCTACCTATCTGATTACCATGGCAGCAAGGTGACGTATTGAACACATATTATAGTCTGTCTCACTTATGATCCTGGTCTCTATAAATGGTCTAAAGAATGGCAAAAGTCTAAATCACAGCAAAAACACAAGAGGAAACTCACTGGCCTTCAACCTGTGAGAATCCTTGGAAGACCAAAATAGTTGAAGGAGAATTGAAGAAGTAAATGACTACTGAATGCCTAAAGGAGGTTATGGCTTCAAAAAGGCAGAATCAGCACCAAGAATGGGCTCTATATGGAATGTTTGTGATTATCAGAAGCAGAGAGGGCTCAAGGGCCAGCACTGGAATACATTGTTGGGTGCATCACTGCAGAAACAACCAAGTAGCTCTATCCTTGCCCATTAACTCTCAACTTGTCATGGTCCAGGCAGCAGCTGTGAGAGGGTCTACAAGCAGAGAGTGCTGGAGCTTGATGTAGATATCCAGGGCACAAAGCTCACTTTTTAAAATTAGTCTATCATGCATTATACATGTAAACTTTGGGTCAATATAGTTTAGTGAGTTCATATTCCTTAGATAGCGCAGGGAGTTTGATTCTTTTCAGCCCTGTTGCTCCAAACATAGAGCAATGACGGATAAAATATAAAAAAGAGAAAACAAAACATGGCCTGGAAACACGAAAAGTCGGCAGCACTAAGGTTCTCCCTTTTTTTCTGATTCTGATTTGATATTTGGCTGTGGTAAAATAAAGAAAATCTACAGCTTAATTTTGCTTCTGTTTTGAAATTTTTGTTTTATTATGTTTACTATTACCATTTATAGTGTTGTAGAAGGTAGATATTTTTTACCACTTAAAAATTAGTTACCTTAAACTTTTACAAGAGCATTTTAAACCATTGCAATGTCATCGTCACTGAGCCAGACATGAGAGTCGGAGTAATATTTGGAGTTACTCAACTCTTCCTCCCTGATCCCCAGCTATTACCACTTTAGAGACAGGTGTCTTTGTGCAATAGGTTATCCTGACTGAGACGAGGCTAAGAGCAAGGTAGCTAATCTGAAGAATTAATCAACAGTCCCTACTCGCTCCCAAATAATCTTCATTATTTCAATAAGTTCCTCAACGTGCTCTTGGAGAATGTGGCTTCTTATTTTTTCCAGAATGTTCTAAAAATTCTTGAACTGCTATGAAATGCTTATTGTAGACACTTTAAATAGATATACAGAAATAATTACGATAACCCAGCAATGTGTGATAAATGATCATTCAGACTTCGCACAAATGACTGGCAAATACATGTAAGAAAATAGAGAGATTCTTCCAATCCAGGAAGCGCACAAAGAAGATGCTGCGCAACTTAGTGCTACTCATCAGAGAAGATGGAGCTGACATTGGTTTTAGCGATCAGTTAGCCTAATGCTTCAATTAATGAATAAATAAACTGGAATTTAGGGTAGTTTAGTGTAATTTAGTGATATATGGAGATCCACAGTCACTTAGTGGCAGAATCAAGACTAAAACCAAGGTTTCCTCACTTCCAATCCAGTACTTTCTCACTACATTACACTAAATAACAGCAGAAAGGTGATTGATGAGCTAAATTAGTTAATCCAATCTATCTTGGTCTGGAAACAGTAATTCAGTATTTTATTTAAGCCAATTGAAACTGAGGGCAGCAAATCAGAACTTGAAAATATTAAAGGAAGTTAGTATCAATCCATTATGCAGTTAGTAAATATTTTTAGAAAGTAACCTATGTATTACTAAGAAATTCATCCTCCACAGAGACGTGAATTCTGCATGTTATATTTTCTGTTTAGTAGGACAAATTGTGGCGAGTAGACATGTATGTGCATATTTTTCTTAAGTGTTTTTTCAAGCATTGCAGCAACTACCAAGTAAATACACTAATAACAAGGAGTTCTAATTTCAAAGGTTTATTCGCTTCTATTCAGCTTCTTATAGGAAAACCTTGGGGAAGAGGTAGCTAAGAATTTGGTGAAGGAGGAAAATGGTAACTGAACCATGGGTGGGAATCCAGGAGGTTGAGGAGGAATAAAATGACAAAGTTATTGAAAAGTGGTAGAACTTTACTTTAAACTATTGCCCTGGGCTGGCCACGTTCATCACAGTTGGCAATTACCTTAGGAGTGTCAGTTGTTCTTATAGGATCACAGGAGGCGAATCTTACTCTCTTGAGGAGCTGATTTGACGTTACTCTTGTGAGTCTAGTGAGGACTAAGATGACTTGCAGCCGAAAAGCTTAACTCAGGACTAAGAATGAAGGCTACCTCCATCAACAGGACTTTATCGTTTATTCTAGAAAATTCTTTCCCGGGAAGATAAAGATGTAAACCAGTAAATAACTTCTTCGTTTGCTTCAGGAGCTTTCCCTAAATCCAATTATCTGAAGGGAGTGTGTTCAACCAGACTCTTTCTAGGACAGTAGTTTCTTTATTTAGGTAGATATCCTTCTTCTCAGGACAATACCTTGCTCAAATGGGCAAAGCGATCACTCATTTGAAAACTGGTAACTCAGGAACATTTTTCTAAGACCCTCATCTTACTTTGTCTCCAGATCCTCAACCATTGTATCAAAAGCTGTGCTCAATCCCAATCAGATTCAGGCACTAAACACTTGACTTCAACCACTGAAGCCTTAAATCTTAGAAAGAACTATTTCCCACCTTCCCCCTTTAAGAAACTGTCTCTTACGTAGATGCTCTTCTTTACTGTAATAAGTTAATAAAATGAGCTTTCTTTGATCAACATTTTACTTTGGTGCTCTGTTTGAAAGGTTGTCAGCTGACACTACTAAGGGCAAAAAGAGGTTTTGGACCATGGAGTTGCAACTACTGTATTATTCAGAAGATAAATCCTAAAGTTCTTGATAGGATTTTGATTGGTTTATTTTCCCATATACCAATTATTTGAAGAACAAGAGGTTACATAAAGTATTTATTTGTGTCAGACAAATCATTGTAGTCAGCATTTTCTGTCCTTTTTCCTGGCAATGACTCCATAGGCACCAGTAAAATGAAGCTGCTGAATTCTTCACCTCTCTCGAACTGCTGTGCGTCAGGGCAGCTTTGCCTGGCTCGCTCCTCCTTCCCTCACTCCCCTGCTTCGAACTACTCTCCCCAGAGATAGCTGAGGCCTTGGCTGCCCTGCTCACTCTCAACTAAGCTAACTTCTTTGTTTTCCTTCGGAACATGAAGAGGTCCTGTTGACATCACAAGAGAAGCTGGGGTTTCTACAGAAGCCCTGCTCCACCTGATTGAGCTGTGAGCTGAGTTTCCCTTGATGTGTCCTCCTTTCAAGCTTCTGCTATGGAGCCAGGTGAAGAGTTTCTCTGTCTCAAATTCCACATGTGAATGTATTTGGGGGAGGATAGTCCCCTCACCCTAAGTATTTCCCTGAACCTACAAACTGCAATTTGAAGCAGACAGGGGAGATGGTAGCACACCTCTGACCAACTGTCTTTCTTATATTTTATCTTCCTTCTCCCCACAATCCAACAGGATCAGAAAAGGCAGACTCAGGGATGGCTTCACAGGTATATGACCTGTGCAATTTTACAGGGCCCCACACTTGGTCTAAGGCTCTGTTATCACTGTATTGACATTCTTATTAATTTTTGGACAAGGGACCCTACATTTTTATTTTGTAAATTACATCGTTAGCCCTGGGCAGGCTTCTTCTGTACCTTCTTTTCTAGATACCATGCCCCTTATGTAGAACCCTATAATCCCGTGTCAAATGTAAGACAAAGAATTCTCTAAAATCCTCTCTTGATAATCTTGCCTTTGTTACTGCAAAATATTGCTGCCTGTTGTGCTGAAGAATCAAAAGTCCAAATTTAGGTAACAAAATTTGAAATATTCCTTTTTTTTTTTGAGGAAGATTAGCCCTAAGCTAGCATCCTCAGCCATTCTTCCTCTTTTTGCTGAGGAAGATTGGCCCCGAGCTAACATCCATCCCCATCTTCCTCTACTTTATATGTGGGGTGCCTGCCACAGCATGGCTTGATAAGCAGTATGTAAGTCCGTGCCTGGGATCTGAACCAGCGAACCACGGGCCACCGAAGCAGAGCATGCAAACTTAATCGCTACACCACCAACCTGTCCCTGAACGAGTCTCCCTTTTGAAGCCACATTTAATAATCTTAACCTTCACTGCAGCTAATCCAAGGCAGAAGAAATCTTGGGCTATTTCAGGAGAATGCCATGTTCACAGAAATTCAAAAGAGAAAATCATATTAGTATAGTTTTCATTTTATACATTTGTATAAATAAGAAAATAATTGGGTTAAATACTGGCAGTAAATATGACAAAGTTTCATCCTTTGTAAGAAATATAGATTAATAAAAATAATACAAATGCCACAACAGAAAAATATCATGAAAATATATACAAACAGCCCATTAACGTGTCAAATAGTAGTCAAGCTTGATAAAAATAAAAGAAATGCAAACTAATGCAATGAAATATTTTATTTGTCAATCAACTGTAAAACAATTTTAAAATATAAAAATTCCTTCAAGATTGCAAATATCCATTCTCATCCGTTTTGCCAGTAGAACTGTACAATATAAATAACGCAAACCTTCATGTTATTTACTCATTTCATCCAGTAATCCAGCTTGAAGTATCCATAATGATAGGTTCTGTCAGATATTGATGTCTAAAAGTATTCATAGCAATGTTCTCCATAGTGCAGACAGTATGACACTAGACATGGCAAAAAATCAGAGGTGCAGTTCACAATTTATGTATGAAGATGTTCACTGCAGTGTTACTCATAATAAGGATAGTTCTTTGTGTATAACGCCCTCTTGAAAATATGTATGTATTCTGAATGTCAGTACGATGAAAAACAGACATACACAGAATAAAGAGGTTTTTATTCCATGAGAACCAGAAATATCATAAATCTCTAATAAAACCCTACCAAAGTTACAATTTCAGTGAAATAGCTGCAGACATCTGCTTTATATTCTAGTTTCTTTCAGTTTTATCTTGAGAATGATGCTTTTTCTTATTAGCATCTATGGTTGTTTCATTCTTATATTTTAACATAGTAGAAAACAAATGATTCTAAAATACAATAAAATCCTCAATTAACTGTCCAAACTTGAAGAACCAAAATCAGATGCCTAATGTGTTTGCTCATTATCCGATTTATTCGTATTAAAGATTCAATTCAGCATACAGAAGATGCTTTAGGGATAGTAGCACATATTTTATGACAGTTTAGATTTTTGAAAATGAAATATATTTTGTCAAGGACCACCTGTGGTTAACAAGCTAAAAGTAGCCAACATAAATTTTGAAATAGGAGAATGATAAATACTTTATGGGAAAGCTTTTCAATTCTTTGGATTATTTGAAGAGCTATTCCAGGTGGAGAAAATTTTAGTTCACGGGCTTTCTGGACAATATACACAATCTTGGCTATTGTAGGAGCTGTTGAACTGTAGGGAAGGAAAGTTCCTTGAGCCTCTCTAGGGTTCCTTGCTGGGTTTGAGAATTAAATGGACAAAGACAGCTTAACAGGAGTGAAGCATACAAATTTATTTAACACAAGTTTTAGGTAACACAGGAGACTTCGTAAGGAAATCAAGACATGAAGAAAAGGTTAGACCTGAGTATTTTTATGCTAGATTTGATGAAGAATGGGTGGTCTTATAGAAATATGATACATTAGAAAGTGTGAGGTAAGTGTAGTAGACCAGAAGATCCTTAGCAAGGGCTGTTCGTTAGGATTCTTCTTGTGTCTCTTTGTCTTCAGAGATAAGGATGCTCCTTTCTGCTGGGTACAGAGAGGGCACCTCTCATCTGAGAGCTTTATGACCTGTTTCAAGACAGAAGGGCAAAAAGAAGGCCAGCGTGAACTTCCTGCTTCAGCTCTTTGCTCAAATTCCTTCAGCTAAAATATTTAATATGCCAAGGTGCCATTTTCTAGGATAGTATGTCCTGAACCCCGTCAAGATCGTCATCTCAATGATGCGTGGGCCTGGAGGCTCATGATCAGGGAGGAGACAACCTTCCTGCAGACGTCATTTTCTATAAGTTTCCTTCTTCACCCTTTGAGCAGAGTTGCAGATTAGATTTGTGATGGAGCTGGCATTCCTCTGACTATGATGCCAGTTTCAAGGCAAATTTTTCTCCAGGGTCTGGTAAAGTGAATTTATATCACTTTTTATTAATAACAAGCACTAATAAGTCTTGGATACAGATAAGAAGACACATAATAAATGTTGTAAGTTATTGAAAGCTTTCCTTGGTATGTCTATTTCCAGGATAGTAGCGAAAATTTCAAGCTCTTCTATATTCCCTTAACACTCTCTATTATAAACAGTACTATCAACTTTCTGTAAATATTTATTAGTTCTCCTGATCTGCTGTGAGCTCCTCAAGGGCAGAGAATTTCTCTGTGATATTTTATTTTATTCTCATCACCTAAAAAATTGAGAAGCGCATAGTGTATACTCAGTAAATACATATTAAATAAATAAATATTTGTTGAGTAAATGAGTGATTGAGTTCCAGGCTGGGAACTTCTGGAAATCTGCATAAGACCAAACTCTGCAGCCTAAGGTTTGCCATGATCCAACTCATGAATTTGCCATAATTTTCCCTAATGCACCCTGTACTCTGTTTCAGTCATGCTAAACTCTGGTGCTTATGTCATTCTCAAAATAAAACATACACTTTCAGACTTTACCTTTTATGTACTCCTAGAGCTTAAAAAATAATATAATAGAGAATAATTATTAATAATTATTGAGTTGCACAGAAATGTAGGGAAGGAAAAACTTTTCCTCTACCCTCTTATGCTTTTTATGGGGGTATGTGAATTAAATTGACAAAAGACAGATTAACAGGAGAAAAAAAATACAAATTTTATTTGATGTTCATATTTTTTATGCATACATTCACAGCAAAGAAGTGAAAAACCCAAAGAAGTAGTTTGACTAGGGGGCTTATATACCATTTTAACAAAGGGGTATAAATTGTGACAAGGTGAATAGGAAATATATGGTAAGTAAGGGTTTGTTAGGAAGATTTGTTATGCAGACTCACCTCAATGCCATCTCCAGTCTTCTTGGTGTGGGAGGGGCAATATCTTTACAAATGGAAATTTATGTTGCATTCACAAAGAGAAATGTATGCTCTACTTGTAGGCAAAAAGGGGGAGGGTAGAGGGGGTTCTTTGTATGTCTGCTATTTCTCAATTGCCTTTAGCTCAAAATAATCTGTATGTCAAAGTAGCATATTTTGGAGTGCCTTATTCAGATCTCCCTCAGAAATTTCCCTTTTTGAACAGTCTAGCATTTGATCATGTACTGCTGTTTTCTTCACGCTAGAATGATGTCAGTCTCATATTCTTCAGAACTCTTAATTTCAGGGACCTATTATGTTTTAAATTCTAAAGTTTCTCATTTGTCCCTTTAGTATACCTGTTGACTCTTGGTCTCCATAATCCGAAAGAAAAGAATAGATCTTAGCTGTTCCTAGTGCCTATTCTGGAAAAGTTCTGTTGATCAATAAAATGCCTTATATTGGAAAAAAAATGTAAATCACTTTCACGGACATACGAAGTGAGAAATGATTTGCATAGAGGAAAATTAAGTTACACCTCTAAGCTATAATAGTTTATTTTTCTCCAAGGCTTACTATCTCAGTGTGCTTTATTTCTTTCTTGAAAATTAAATTTCTTGTAAGTAGACTGGCATTCCAGGCCTTCTTTAGCTGGTTCCTGCTATTGGCATATAACTGGCATTCCAGTGAATATAGGTTTCTCTTAGCAATTAATCAGTGTCAGGACAACTTCCACTGTAGAAAGTAATTCACATGCAGATAGTTTCCTTAACTTTCTGCACTGAATTCCAAAGGAAACCTATGAAGCATCTGGATTTTTGACATACCTCTGCCTCAACAGCTGAAGTGATGTTTTCACTGAAGAGATGTAAAACACCTGGGGTGTTAACATTTAATTGAAGCTTGTTTTTTTCAAAGAACAGAAATGAATTTGTACTTTGTCATAATCCATTTCCCAGAAGATGCAGTCACTCCACAGAAATCAGACAATAGAATTGCTACCTCATTTGATTTTTAGCCAAATGATTAGAATGCTCTTTATCTAGTGAATACTAATGCAGTTGTAACAAAAACACTAGAAATAAGAGTAAATACCATATTGTGATAAATGTATAGTTCAGTCAACAAAAATATATATTGGAAATATAATTTTTACTTTTACTTTCTTCATCTATATTAACACCTGGCAACATTCAAAGACAAGTCTACCCAGAATAATCTTATCTCAGTGAATCTGGAAGAATGTGAATTGTGTCATTAAACTTTCTTACGTATAAACAAGAAATGTAATAGCAAAGAAGAGTGCAACTGGCTAAGTGCAGAAAACTTCACGAAGGTAGTCTTGGTAAATCCTGCCATTTTAGAGAAGGAGACTTGCACATTTTAAATTTAAAAAATAGGGGCCAGACCAGTAGTGTAGTGGTTAAGTTCATGAGCTCTGCTTTGGCTGCCTGGAGTTCACAGGTTTGGATCCCAGACATGGACCTACATACCGCTCATCAAGTCATGCTGTCGCGGCATCCCACATAAAAAATAGAGGAAGACTGGCACAAATGTTAGCTCAGGACCATATTCCTTATAAATAAGTAAATAAGTAAATGAAAATTGTCAATCCTCTTTTCTATCTTCCTAGTCCATAACACTAAATAAGAGCTACAGAATTAGAGGATCTTCATAGACAAAAATTTAAAATTACATGTCCATGCAATAATATGATTTTTTTTTTAATTTTTCTTGCTGATGGGCACTTAGAATATGTGTTGAAGAATTTTTTTAAAGGTAAAACTATCGCAGTAAAATATAAAATGTGTGCATTTCACAGATTTTATTCAGCACAATAATTAATGAGGGAACCAGCAAGATGTAAAAATTGGTTCAAAGGAGAATTCAAAAGGCACACATGTTTAGACAAAAAGAAATACTGAAGTGGATTTGCAAATAGATGCAAATCTGGCCAATATTCACAGGGCAATGGTCAATTGCATCTTCACTGGACAAAGTTTATTTGCATTTCTAACAAAAATAATTATTTGCATTACTATCAGTTTTCCACAATTTACCAAGCTGTAAAATAGATTGAAGAACATGAAAAGATAAAATAATCCGTGTGTTCTGGACAAGACACTAGTAATCAATTTTGCCCATTTTAAAGTCTTTTACGGTTTTCCCTGACATGTGGTTTTGAGATCTTAATTTGAGAGGGAGGATTAATATTGCATTTCACTGTGATGCAGTTGTAGAGGAGGAAAAATAATTTTCCCCCTACCTTTCTAAGTTCTTGGCTCCTATCCCCTATAGTAAAAGACAGATTAACAGGAGGAAAACCAACAGAAGTTTAATAACATGTACACCTCCTGTGTACATGAGAGATACTCAGGAAAACCGAATCACTCCTATCGACTTTCAAAAACAGAAACCAGTTGAAAAGGCAAAGTGTTTATTTGGGGAACACAGATTCAGGTAGAAACCCAAATAGTTTGTCCCAATTACAGAGTGAAAGTCAAACTGAGGGCCAATTTGCTTTAGCTATACTCAGTTAGTTGTCTGCCTGCAAAGTAGTTAGAGAATTAATTTCTAAAGCCCACCCTATAGGTAACATCTCTGACTTGGGTCTCCATGGTAATGAGTGGGGTGCTTTGGTTTTTCAGGAACTGAGGATTGATTCCTTGTCCAGTTGAGGCCAGTTGAGACCACTAACTTATCAGCAAGGCCTGCACAGATAACTGGTAAGTGACCTCTTGACGTCAGGGAGCTAAAAACTCCACCCTCAGATCATAGTAACACTGCTGTTTATGAACATGTGTCCTGTGAAGAGGCAGAAAGCTTGACTACACTTGTGCAGATCATTAATTATCACCTCTCCTTACCTCCAGTCATCTATCCCCATACTTCAGACCACTCCACCCCTTAGCCCATAAATATGCCTAAGTCCCCATTTTCAGGGAGGCAGATACAAGATTGGTGCTCCCGTCTCCTCGCTTGCTGCACTGTGATTAAATCCTTTCTCTTTGCAAACTCATCATCCCAGTGATTGGCATAATTGTGCAGCAGGCAAAACAAACCTGGTTCAGTAACAAAAGCAAGGGGTTTTTATGAGAAAAGGAAGAGGATAATTACATGAGTTGATAGAGGGAAGAAAAAAACTTCCTACTGGCATTACCAAGCTTAGCTATTGTTGGTTATATATTGATTGGTTATTGATTCTATCTTCAGAAAGTCCCCAATCATCAGTCTTTGTAAAGATCACGATGTCCATTTTCCTACTGACTTCTCAAACAATTGCTTGTAAAACAATTGCCATTTTGGCCCAGTCCAGATTTGGCCCAGTTGAAGGTTTAAGGATCAAGATGAGCAAGGCAGTTCTCCTGAAATGGCTGTTGGGGCTCTATTTTAAAATGGTTCCACTTATGTCAGTTTTCACAATCCCCAAAATGGCCCAAGCCACCACCTTAAATATCATCTCCTGTTAAAGACAAAAGAGATGTTGGGTTGGTGGGGGACAGTTATGGGAGGTTTTCAGGCAAAGCACAGTAAATTCTGTTTCTGGACAACCAGCTATCACCAGGCTCGTTAGGCTTTTCACCTCTACCTATGAATCTTCTCACTATTTTGCAACATAAATGAGTTGGTTCTTTGTACAGATGTAAGTCTCTGCCTTCTCCATTGCTAAAGTTTCTGGAGATTCAGTCATCATCCTCTTCCTGGTAGAGACGGAGGCTCCCTTACAAAGGGAGATTTTCCTTATAAATGTAAATGCCTCCTACAAAAGGGTGACTTCTACTCAGTTTTCAGAGCTCTTCCTGCATCTACTATTTCTTAAAAAATCATCAGTTCAAAATAACCTGTACGCCAAAGAGGTGTATTTTTGGGTGACATATTCTGCTTTCCCTCACAGTAAAATTAGTGAAACAAGGACCACAACCACAATGAGTTGCTTTTCCAGAATGATTTATCAAATTTGAATACTTGCTATCAATTTTATGATAAACAACTACAATTAACCTTTACCAAGGATAAATTTAATCTTATATTTCACTTCACATGACCACGTATGTAAATGTTTGGTCTGCCTTTGCAATAATTTTTAAAGTAATATGAGAGAACAATGTGAGTTGTGTTAATTGAGGAATAAATTAAATTAAGGAATCTTAACATGGGAAAGTATGGAACGTGGTAAGTATATAAACACATTGGTTTTGGGATTTAAAGTGTGGTCTAAGCATAGTGGAGTTTATATGTAAACTATCGTGTGAATGTCCCTCTGAAATTTTGCAATGCTGTAGACTTGGTATATTTGCCTAAACTCCTAATCCAGGGATAATATCTAAAGCTTTCATCAGATTCTTAATAAGATGCACAATTCCTGAAAGAATAAAAAGTCTACTTCAGAACAAAACTATTCTGACCTATTTATCTGCCCGATATTATTTCATTCAATCTTTTGGACTATTTATAGCAGGAATGACAGCTGGACCATCACAGAATCTCGAGTATACTGGCAAGACAGGTAGATTAGTCTAAAAATCACCTGGGGAGCTCACACTCGGTTGTCTGGACATTGAGCTATTTCGGAATTTGGGAGGCCCTATGTTCCTTCTCACAGCTTACTCAATCAAAACTGGGTGCATTATAATTGAATTTCTCATAGGACTGATGGCTTCTTTCTCCTAGCAGGAGAAGCCACAATTGACCCTTAACAGACAACTCTGGTAAAGCGTTGGTACCTCTACCTCATCTGTCTGGCATCTCAGTAGTCTGATTATTTGCCAATTGCCTTATAAGGAGGGAGAGCAAGGAGTGATGGAGTACCTTTCCTGAAAAGCAGACACACACTACACATCCTATAGACAGCGCTGGCATCATGCCAGCCTATGTGATGATATCAAGGATCAGAAGCCCTGTGCTTTCTATTCTTGTTGAACTTTGGCTGCCAAATTCTTCAGTAAAGCCTATTCCTATTCCTCAACTCATACTGTAGGATGCTGTGGAATTTTGGCCCAGCCCTGGGGGAATACAGTTGACGATGCTAAAGGGACAAAATTTTATGAGAGATGGTGATTACAAAAAGATCAAACATATACTCATCATCATTATGATATATATATTCTCTGATTTTCATTATATTTATGAACTTGCTGAGAACAAAAAATTGTGTGAGCTTTGGAGATTCAGGGATAGACAAGCAAGTATAGTGAACTGGGGGAAGGCAGTAGAAGCTAAGTTGTAGGAAGTAGTCCAGGTTCCTTGGGACGTGATCCACTATTAGAGAAGGAGACAACCGTGACCATCAGGACTTGGCCAAATGGGTAAATTTAGAGAAGAGTAGATTATGGCAGTGTCATTTGAATACATCCCTGACTCAGTCATTATGACAGCATGTGCAGACCAGAGACAAGAAGGAACTGCTTATAAAACAGAAAGGCAGTTTTACTTAAACTTTGGGACCCTGGTAACTCTCATGGGGCACCCCTGTAAAAAAGAATGGGCCGTAAAGTGAAAGGAGATAGTTCTCTGCCAACACTGGAAAATTAAGCTCAGCTTGTCCTGAGCATTAGAGGCATTTGTTAAGTACCCAAGATGAGTGACATTTGTGAAAACAGCAGATGAGGAAGATCAGTTACAAGATGAAAAGAAGTACAAGTGAGCTCTGAACCATCACCTGGAGCAGCCCAGGAGCAACGGGGGGAGCAAGTTTCTGGGCCAGATTCAACAGCAGAATGTCAGCAGTTCAAGCCAGAGGTGTCAGGAATTTCAAGGGCAATAACAGAATTTGTCCTGCCTATCCAGAAATGTTTGCATGCACTGACATAGAAACATAGGTATGGATTTTGATATAAAAATACTTGTTACAATATAAATGGCATAATCCATACTGTGTACAACCCGCTCTTTCTCTTCTTGGATGTATCTTAGATATCTTTCTAAATTGTTATCTGTGCATCTTCAGACTCTAGTCTCACAGAGCTTTAGTTTGAAGCCTGAGTTCTCAACATACTGAGTACACTCTCATTTGGGGATTTGCACTTGAGGTTCTCTCGGCCTGGGAGGCCCTTCCTCCATCTACAGAGTTTACTTCATTCCTCGATACAGATCTGTTGTCAATCATCACCAAGCCCCCTTTTTGATACAGGTCCCTGCTCTCCTCTGCCCCACTTGACCCCTTCAATCTTTATCCACTGCTCCTACTTCATTTTCTTGATAGCATGTACTAATACTCCTCTTGACACTACATATTTGTCTGTTCATTGTCTACCTTTCTTACTAAAATGTGAGCTCCAAAAGGATAAGGACTTTGTAGGTTTTATTATGACCACATTCTCTAAGGCCTAATATAAAGTAGGTTCTCAGTAAATATTGTTAAAAGGATGAACACATCAATTATTTAATTTGCTGATTATCAAGACTGTGGCTTTCTGATAACCAACCCTGTCCTTCATACACAAAAATGGGGATAATAATTCTACCTAGCTCATATGATAGGTATAAAAATAAAAGACTATTTTACTAATTATAATAATAGCTGATATTTATTGAGTATATATTGAGCAGACTTCTCATATAATCTTCTCTCCAATCTATAAAATAGAGACTATGGTTAAACCCACTGTGGATGGCTAAACTGAGACTCACAGAGTTTAGGAGTAATAGGGATATGATTTTATCCCCAGCAGTCAGACTTAAGAGCTCTGTCCCCAAAACTATACTGTGCTAGCTCCTAAATACTCATAGCATGGGCTCAACTAAAGATGACTAAGTTTGCTAGTAATATTATTATTGTTGTCATTGTCATGTTCTTTTCATGACCACATAGTGTTCTCTCATACGGATATGCTGTATTTTATGTAAGTTCCCTACTGTTGCATACTCAAGCTGCTTCCACTTTCTTTTTTTTTTTTTTAATTTTTGGAGAGGAAGATTGGCCTTGAGCTAACATCTGTCACCAATCTTCCTCTTTTTTTTCTTTTCTCCCCAAAGTCCCAAAACATAGTTGTGTATCCCAGTTGTAAGTCATTCTAGTTCTTCTATGTGGGATGCTGCCATGGTGTGGCTTGCTGAGCAGTGTGTAGTCTGTGCCCAGCATCCAAACTGTCAAACCCTGGACCACCAAAGCAGAGTGTGAAAACTTTACCACTCGGTCCCCGGGCCAGCCCCCTGCTTCCACTTTTATAACTCATTATAAGCAATGTCTCAACAGAATCCTTGTACATCTGTGGGTATCTGAGAAAATATGTGTATAGAATAAGTTTTCAAAACTGTAATAAAAAGGTCAAGCATTTTAAATTTTGATATACCTTATCAATTTACACTTTCAAAAGAATGCACTTCTACCCTTTGAGTCCCTAGACAATATCTCACATTTATTTGTTGCTTGCTTATGCCCTTGTTTTCATTATGACTATTTCATTTTACATTAGAAGTTTTGAAGTTACTATTTAGAAATCACACTCACACTCTCCTTTACAAAACCGAGAAAAAATTTATCTTACTTGTCTAAATACCCAATCTATTTTATTTGGCTTTGCTGTTTTCTTTAAGAAATTTTTATATATTCACTTGAACATTTGATTTCAAAAGAAAGCTTCTACATTTACTTACATTTTAGTGAAGTTAGTGCTAATGTCATGGCCACCTGATCTTGAAATTTCTAAGTGATTATAAAAGGTTCCAACAAATTATGAGATATTCATACCAGTAAATATTTGGGGGCTTACCTTAAAGTGCTTTGACCAAAGGGACATCTGGAGCATTCATTAAACTGTTGTAAATGTGCTCTCTGACTTTACATTATTTCACAAATTATTAGGCAAAAACAGAAAAATTTAAATAATATACATCACCGTAAAGACCAAAGATGACTCAAGAAATATGCATATTTTAAAAGCAAGATATCCAAATCATGTTTGTAGTTTGTCTCTAGCCCAGTGAAGGCAGAAGCTCAAGTCACTATAACCTTTTCTTGAAGAAGATGATGCCCTAACTATGTCACTGGAGAGATTACTGAATGCTTATATAAATACTGAAAACATTTGAGAAGTAGTTATGGCTCAAGATGACAATTAGCATTTCTAAATGGAATGAATAGAGTACCTATAATGTATAAACTTGTATAAACAAAATATGAAATGTGACCACAATAATCTTAATTACCCTCACTTTTCCAGTGAACCTTTTCAAAAGATACTTGAGAAGGTTTGTCAACTTAAATTGTTGAATTATTTGGAAAGCCTTGCCAAGTACCACTTGCAAAGAACATGTAAAATAAATGAAATACAGATTCCAAGTATTTGATTGCTTCTCCAGCTTTTGTGTCTGCAAGCTAAGAATGTGTGTGTGTGTGTATGTGTGTGTAAGTGTCCATGTATTCCTCTGTGGGAAATTGTTTAAAATTCAGAATAGACCCTTATAATACTCCTGTTATTTATTATCAGTGGGAACTATTTTAATTGAAATAGGCAGAGGATACTTTTTCTTTTTTTTTTTTTTTTTTGCTGAAAGCTTTAAAATAATATTTAATAAAATTGAATGCACAGAAGAGTTTATGATAATTGCAGGCAATTTCCCATCTGAATATGTGTGTCCCTTTTTGTGTGTGTAATGCAAGCTTAGCTCAACATGGAGCTAAGAACAAGGAAGAAAA